CACTTATGTTTCAGAAATAGAGTGGTTGTTGCTAAAACACAAAGATGCCTTGAAAGTTACAGGGTGTGGCAGCCTTTTAACTCTGAGACCAGGAGGCTGTAGTTGGTGATGGATGGAGAGGGAAGATGAGGACCAGGTGGTGAAGTGGAGAAACTGGGTCTGATGCTGACTGTAGGACCTGGATTGACCACGTCTACTTCCTGGACCTCCTTGCCTGTACAGTGGCAAGGATCAAAAACTCCAGCTCAGGACTGTGTGAAGGTGATGTGGGCACAGAAAGCCATGCATGGGGGAGGGGGTGGCACAGAGCAACTGCTCCGTAACTGTGAATGCAGAAACAGCCACCATGCAGGCTTGGAACTGGGGTGGCTGGGGCTTGGAGTGCCGCAAATACTGACCTTCAGCTCACCCACGCTGGCAGCAGAATCTCTGGGATGTGTTGCGCTTGGCACTAGTAAATTAGCAGGCAGACTCCGAACTGAGTGCACAGAATAGTTGGTGAGGGGAGGAGGACAGGATTGAAATAGCTCCTAAGAATGGATGGTGATGTATCTGACAGATTCTCACCTTCTCCAGGTGGTACCACCCAGCACAGAGGGCAGCAGAGAGCCCTGGTAGGCATTTGAGCAGGGATGCTTCATCCTCCTTCTGCAAATGCTTCTGGGCCCCTTGCTCTGCGCAGAAGGCTTGCAAAGACTTTTGTGTTCCTGCTCCCAGATAACCCTCTGATCTGATCCTCTATCTCACCCATCTTTCTTGCTCACTCTGTTTCAGTCATATAGGCCTCTGGGTGGTTTCTTACATAGGCCAAATCTAGCCCTGCCCAAGGGCCCTGCATTTGCTGTTTTTCTAGCCAGGACTTCACCATTCCCGGACAGCTCTGCTCCCTCACTTCACTCAGGCCTCTGCTCAACTGCCACCTCCTTCCAGAGCCCTTCACGACTGCCTCGTCTCAAATAGCACTTCTGCCTCCTTTGTTTCCCCATTCAGCTCCAGGACCAGGAAACACACGTTTTGTTACCACTCTATCCTCATTGCCTAGAATAGTGCCTGGCACACAGCTGGGACTCAACGTAAATATGTGTTGAATTAATGAATTCAGTTTCCAATGAATAGATTCTTTCCCTACCCAAAAAGAACTTACATCTGATTCTTGAGTATGTGGGCATTTTCCTACCGATCACTGTCACCCTTGGGATGATGATCCCATTAGCTGTGGTTATGATGATGACAGTGAGGATGTTAAATGGGTGGTGGTTTGCAGTGTGCACTGGAACTATTAGATGGAATCTGTCTTACACAGTGATGAGCACATTGCAAAAATGATAAGTAGGTTGTAGGTTTGAGTTGCTAACCTAGGAGTCCTTGCATAGTCTCAGCAATGGGTAGCCCACGCCCTCAGAAGCAGCCCATAGCAGTTAGGGCAGCTCTAGGAAGGCACAGGAAAGAGAGAGGGATGAAAGGTTTTGCCCGAAGCATAGTTTCTTTCTTTCTTTTTTCTTTTGGAGAAAATATTTGGCTTATATAGCCCCTTTATTCTAGTCCTAATCCTCAATGCATTAGACATAAAGTTGGAAGTGTTTTTGTATATATATACATTAAATTCTAGGGTACTTGTGCACAACGTGCAGGTTTGTTACATATGTATACATGTGCCATGTTGGTGTGTTGCACCCATTAACTCATCATTTACATTAGGTATATCTCCTAATGCTATCCCTCCCCTCCCCCTACGCCATGACAGGCCCCAGTGTGTGATGTTCCCCACCCTGTGTCCAGGTGTTCTCATTGTTAAATTCTCACTCATGAGTGAGAACATGTGGTGTTTGGTTTTCTGTCCTTGCGATAGTTTGCTCAGAATGATGGTTTTCAGCTTCATCCATGTCCCTACAAAGGACATGAACACATCCTTTTTTATGACTGCATAGTATTCCATGGTGTATATGTGCCACATTTTCTTAATCCAGTCTATCACTGATGGACATTTGGGTTGGTTCCAAGTCTTTGCTATTGTGAATAGTGCCGCGATAAACATACGTGTGCATGTGTCTTTATAGCAGCATGATTTATAATCCTTTGGGTATATACCCGGTAATGGGATGGCTGGATCAAATGGTATTTCTAGTTCTAGTTCCTTGAGGAATTGCCACACTGTCTTCCATAATGGTTGAACTAGTTTACAGTCCCACCAACAGTGTAAAAGTGTTCCTATTTCTCCACATCCTCTCCAGCACCTGTTGTTTACTGACTTTTTAGTGATCGCCATTCTAACTGGTGTGAGATGGTATCTCATTGTGGTTTTGATTTGCATTTCTCTGATGGCCAGTGATGATGAGCATTTTTTCATGTGTCTGTTGGCTGTATAAATGTCTTCTTTTGAGAAGTGTCTGTTCATTTCCTTTGCCCACTTTTTGATGGGTTTGTTTGATTTTTTCTTGTAAATTTGTTTAAGTTCTTTGTAGATTCTGGATATTAGCCCTTTGTCAGATGGATAGATTGCAAAAATTTTCTCCCATTCTGTAGGTTGCCTGTTCACGCTGATGGTAGTTTCTTTTGCTGTGCAGAAGCTCTTTAGTTTAATTAGATCCCATTTGTCAATTTGGGCTTTTGTTGCCATTGCTTTTGGTGTTTTAGACATGAAGTTCTTGCCCATGCCTATGTCCTGAATGGTATTGCCTAGGTTTTCTTCTGGGGTTTTTATGGTTTTAGGTCTGATATTTAACTCTTTAATCCATCTTGAACTAATTTTTGTGTAAGGTATAAGGAAGGGATCCAGTTTCAGCTTTCTACATATGGCTAGCCAATTTTCCCAGCACCATTTATTAAATAGGGAATCCTTTCCCCATTTCTTGTTTTTGTCAGGTTTGTCAAAGATCAGATGGTTGTAGATGTGTGGTATTATTTCTGAGGGCTCTGTTCTATTCCATTGATCTATATCTCTGTTTTGATACCAGTACCATGCTGTTTTGGTTACTGTAGCCTTGTAGTATAGTCCTAAGCCAAAAGAACAAAGCTGTAGGCATCACGGTGCCTGAAGCATAGTTTCTTCCTTCCTTAGGAAAATAGCATGAGTTTCCAGTTGAAAGGAGAGAGATCAACCTCTGCTCTATGAATCACCCCTTAAAAGCTGCAGAATCAAAGGGAACCCCATGGGCAAAAGACTCCTTTTCAGTCATACCTGAATGAATGGGAAGAGGAGCCCAACAGCAAAGTTGGAGAGCCAGTTGACGGTGCCTGCGATGATGAAGGTAGCTGGCTGCTGAGATTGCTGGAAGTACTCACCTTAGTCAAAATGAACGGGATGCCACCTGCAATGTGTGAGCCAGGACATGGAATTAATCAATCTGAGGAGGTCATGCCTCCAGCATCCATCTCCATCTGCCACACTTTAGAGCCCCGCCCCTGCCACTTGACTGGATGTGTAGTGGGCCCCAGTTTCTGAGTCGCCCTGGTGACTTAGTGTTACTCAGTGGAGACATCATTGACATTGGGGTGGGACAAGTCTTTATTTTGAGAGACTGTCCTGTGCAATTGCAGGGCATTTATTACCCTTTACTTTCTGACGCCAGGAGAGCCTCCAGTCACCACCACAACCCAAGCTGCCCCCGCCACATTTCCAAACTCACATGTGGTCTGAGGTCTATACCCTTCTATTCCTCCATATCCTGTTCAGTAAGACCGGTGATCGCACCCTTTGCCCAGACCAGGACCTGGGGCTCAGCACAACTGCTGGGATCCCACTTGAACCTCCCCATCTCCAACTGGAGTCACCACTCTGCCAATGAGATCTACACCTGGGTGTTTCTCAGACAAGACAGAGTGGACAATGGACAGGAAATCCCTCAGGGACTTTTACCAAACTCTAGAGAGACACTGAACACAATTTGGAAATTACTAGGACGGAGCCATTCATTGTGTCAACATCCAACAATTATTTATGTGCTGGGACTGTTCCAACATTGAGGTCAAAAGCAGCATGTCCTTGCTTTCATGGGGAACCCTTGTCTGCTGGGATGATTTGTTCATTAAAATGGTAGTGAGCCCAGGAATGGAAAACAAAACCTCATATGTTCTCACTCATAAGTGAGAGCTAAGCTACGAGGATGCAAAGGCATAAGAATGATACAACTGGGGCTAGGCGCGGTGGCTCACGCCTGTAATCCCAGCACTTTGGGAGGCAGAGGCCGGTGGATTACATGAGTTCAGGAGTTTGAGACCAGCCTGACTAACATGGTGAAACCCCGTCTCTACTAAAAATACAAAAATTAGCTGGGCGTGGTTGTGCATGCTTGTAATCCCAGCTACTCGGGAGGCTGAGGCAGGAGAATCGTTTGAACCTGGAAGGTGGAGGTTGTAGTGAGCCGAGATCATGCATATTGGACACCAGCCTGAGGTATAAAACACTACAAATTGGGTGAATGTATTTTGCTTGGGTGATGGGTGCATCGAAATCTCAGAAATCGCCACTAAAGAACTTATTCATGTAACCAAACACCACCTGTTCCCCCCTCCAAAAAAAAACCTACGGAAATAAAAAAATAAAAATAAAAAAGGGGAGTGAGCAAATGAATAAATAAATATAAATACAAAATGTGATCAACATTCTGGAGGAGATACACTGTCTATTTTGGTACTGGGTGGAGAAGGATGCCCTGCGGAGGAAATGGTGGAGATGTGGATTGAAGAAGGAGAGGTGGCTCCTGAAGATCTGGGGAAGATGATGCTGGGTGGAGAAAGGGGCCGGCAGAGGTCCTACAGGCGAAAGGATTGGGCCAAGGTCTACGATAGGGGCCAATCTGTCCAGACACCTGAAGGAGGCAGAGAGGAATGGGGTGAGGTAGCAAATGTGAGCAGGGGCAATGAAGCAGCCTCTTGTAGATCATGGAGAGGGATTTGCAGTTGAAGAAAACTACTTTGGGCTGCTAGGCAGCAGTTGAGGTGATCAATTTGCATTTCACAGAGGTCACTGCTGTTTGGAGAAAAGCTGAGAGGGTGTAGGAGTGGATGCAGGGGGCTGTCAGGGCAGTCCAGGGAGGAAGCAATAGTTGTTCAGGAGGGCTCAGATCATGGCAGGTGAGATGAAAGGAAGGGACTGAATTCAGAGACAATTGCCCCATCAAGGTAAAGCTTTCAAGGTAAGCACTGCACACACACAATCACTGAGCAAGCTGACCCAACCAAGCAACCCAGGGTGACAAAGACACAAAGCTAGGGCCAACTCAAGTCTGAATCTCTCCAGACCTTTCACCGTTATCACTCTGCTACGCTGCCAGCAAGGCTTGCACTCCAACAAATCAAAAACGACTGGGAGTGGACGGTTGCCCAACAGTCCAATATAGCTTAAACTTTGAAAATTAGCCCCAATTAATTATGCATGTGGGTCCACTCATCTTGTTATCTTATTAGAGTCTTCTTTGTTATCTTGTTTGAGTATCCTATTCTGGATTGCCCCAGAAGCAGACACTGAGAAGCAGTTTATGTGCCAGTTGATCCCAGAAAATGCAGGGAAGAGTGCAGAGAAGTGAAGGAGGTGGATAAGGGGTGTGTTATTAGCAACACCACCATGGTCAGCCACATCTTAATCCAACTGGGACCCTTGGGAAACTGTGGAAAACACATCTCAGAGTTACCCCATCTGAGGGGTAAGAGGGCTGGGTTATCTATCCACCATGTCCCATCAGTCACTGACTGTTACACTTTGAACAGTGCTTTTGGCCGGCCACAATGTGGGCTGAGAGGGCCGGGGAAGTCCTCAGGCAAAAAGCCACATATGGGAGCAGTCGCAGGTCTGTCCGGGATTCACAAAAGGGTGTGGACCACGGGATTTGGGGAAGGTAACAAGAATCTTTGCTACTGCCATCTATTCCTTAAGTGTTTAACTTCTCAGTGACTATTGCAATAATCAGGTAGCCATTACTAATAACAACAGTGATGAAAATCTTTATATCATATACACCTAAGTACTCGTTTCAGGAGCTGGGGTATAACACTAGGGTTAAGAACATGGGGTGGAGGTCCCACACTCTAATTAGGAGTGTGCAGTGGGGGTCTTACCCTAAAGTTAGGGGCCTGAGGTAAGGGTGTAACACTGTAGTTAGGGGCCTGGGTGGGGGTCTGATACTATAGTTTGGAGCATGCTGCTTCAATCAGACCATCTCGGTTAGAGTCTTGATTCTGCCACTTGCAGGCTCTGTGTGACCTTGGGCACATTAGTTCACCTTTCCGGCTCGAATTTCCTCCTCTGTAAGCAAGGACAATGGAATTGATTTCATGGGGTCATTGCAAAGCTTAAAGGACCTAATACAGATAATACACATTGAATTGTGTCTGAGGTGTGATGAACACTCAATAGCTTTTAATGATGATGATGATGATTATTCAGAAGACGCATGTTCCAGGAGACTATGAATCATGTGATCGGAGTAAGCTTCCTGGCTCCTGGATCCCATGGACACTGAGCCACACTGGTTGACTAACTCTTTTTCCTGAGCGGGTGGTCTGCCCGCCAATTTGCTTTGGCAGAAAAGGGCTTTCCCAATAACATATAGTTGCTCTTGCCTTAGTAGCACATACATTGTGGAAAAGGAAACCAGATTTGAATCCATGCATTTGAGGCATAGAAGCCTAGGACTCTAGGTAAAATAAAAACTCTTATTTTACAGATTAGGAAAATGAGGCTCAGAGAGGGAAATGTATTTGCTCAAGGTCATAAAACTTGGTGGAAGAGCCAGATTTAGTTAAAAAAAAAAAAAAGTCCCTCTGACTCCTTTCTTCACAGAATATCAAGAGGTGATATGGATTGAGGTATCTGTCCCTCACCTTGAAATTATTTTATTCCCCTCTTTCTCTCTCCCCATCTCTTTCCCTCCCCTACTCATTTTCCTCCCTTCTTGCCAGGAAAGTAGAAAATACGTGCTGATTAATTGAGTATTCTATGTAAAAATTTGCCAAGTAATTTAAAAAATTCTGTAGATAACCTAAAAATATTCCTAATAATTTTGAGACATTGTTTACTTCATTAATAATGTATCGATCTACTTCGTTAATAATGCCATTACTTTTCCTTCAGAAATGTTCATAAGCAAAGAAACATTCTTCCACCTCATTGGTAAATTCCTAATAGTTACATTTAGTTATGTTCAAGTGAAAAGGAATTGAATTATGCATGTTCTTCATATAAGAATTACTTTTTGAAAACTGCCTTTTCCTCCAAATCTCTGTTCTCTGTGAATCTGTGCTCCAGATCAGCTGGCCTAACAACCAAGCTGTCTTGTGGCAACAGCGCCCTGGTGTCTACAGTGAGGAACTATCTGCTACCTTTCTTTCTCCAGCGATAAACCTGATAAAAATTCCCATCACTTTACCTACTAGCTATGTGACCACATGTACCTATGGTTCTCAGTTTTCTCATCTATACAATGAAGATAATAATAATTCTTACTTAGTTTTGTTTTGTGCATTAAATGAGACTATGCTTAGCAACGTGCACCTGTGGTATTTCTCTAGAGCCAGCTTTGTTATTTCTGCTTCCAGTGACGTTTCCTACATATTATCTTTAGGCCCTTTCTCCCTCCTCTCTATTTTCTAACTCTTGCCCATGTACCCTAGAAAAAGTTCAATTTTAATTTTATTTTTGAATAAAAGAAATAAAGGGCAACTGCCCAAACTTTTCCTTAATTCATTTTTATTAAAATTCTTCCAATGGAAGTACAATCATCAATTTCTAAAGCCCTTCAAAATGCCTAGAAACCCCCTTAGAAATTTCCTTAAGTGTGTCCATATGTCACTTAATCCTTTAAATAACTTTTCTGCTAAGCATCAGGTTTAAAAATAGCTCTTTTCTTTTATTGAACTATAATCATTTTGAAAACCCTTCATGGCCATTCTGCTTTGTTTATGTCAATAGACTTTATCTTGTTCATCCACTCATTCATCCATTTCCATCCGACATTTACATGTCAAGTTCTGTGCTAGGCATTTGCAGACTCTACTAGATGATGTAAGAACTATCTTGGGAGGCAGTTACTCTAACTCCATTTAACTGGTGAGGAATTTGCGACCCAGAGTAGAGAGTGACTTGCTCAAGGTGGCACAAGCAGTAAATGATAGACTTGGCTCCGAAACCAAGAGATCCAGACTCAGGTAAGAGACTTTCTCCTCTGCCCTTTCTCTAGGAGAGACATTTGAGAATTTGAAAATGCACACGCTCCCAAACAGATCTGTTCTATGACAACAGCCAAGATATATAAGCAATTAGAACTCATGCCCTGCAGCCTGTTGAGAGGGGTGGGACCAGAGTGCACACAGG